TCACGAGTCCCTTTAAGGGAAAGAGTGTGGTGTGTATGTATGGGTATGCATATATGAGTGTATGTATGTGTACATATGTGTACATATGTGTGCATATGTGTGCATATGTGTGTACGTGTATGTTATGTGTGTATGTGTGTGTATCTGTGCATTCGCCCTCCCTATTTTGCATGTTTAAAAATTAGGACTGGGACCAGGGAGCTGCCTTATCCCATAAAAACCCTTCAGCGCAAACCTGATGACCTGAGTTTGAATCCTTGGAACAACCAATATAAAAACTGGATGTGGTGGTACCTGTCTCTCATCCCAGCTCTCCTACAGAAACATGGGATGCAGACACAGGAGAACCCACGGGAAACTCACAGGTCAGCTAGCCTGGAAAATGTAGCAATACCCAAGCCCGTCCTCTGACCTCTACGTGGGCATTGTAGTTTGTGTACATACATACATACATACATACATACATACATACATACACACAGAGAGAGAGATACAGAGACAGAGAGAATCAGAGACTGTACACACAAAATAATAATAGCAATAAATACTTGAAAAACAATAATTGAAGCCCATAAAGGTTAAGTAGATTCTTCAAGGTTTGATGCAGGAAATCTCAGGACAAGGATTTGAACCTTGACCCTTGCCTCCCAACCCCTGACTTCAGGCCACAGTTCATCAGGAGGTCATAACCTCATGAGGTAGTTCTGAGGGCTGATTATGATTAGGAAATCAAAATGTCTTTGTAAGCTGTGGGCCTTTGACAAGCATTAACTGTAAAAGTAGTTTGCAACTCTATCTTCTTGCTAATGGTCAATTATTTATTCAGCAAATACTTCCTGCAAGAAAGTGCTGCACGAGGCACAGTTCTGGGGACTGGAAATGTAAGGGGAGAAATTTCTTCATGACATTCTACAGCAGATCAGTGGGATGGCTCTGAGTGAGACGCGGAAAGCTCGAGGATATATGGAGTCAGTTTCAGATACTGAAAAAGTAAAAGCAACTTCCATATACACTAGTGGGAGATTTGCTATGAAAAGTAAGGATGCTTCCTTAAGACAGAAAATGTAAGTAGCTTTCTGATGTATCGTGGGAAGATCTCTAAGACTGATTAAAGGGAAGAAAAAGCAAGTTCTAGAACAGCATTCTCAACCTGTGGGCCACAACCCCTTTGGGTCACCTACGACCATCAGAAAACACAGATATTTATATACAATTCAAAACAGTAGCAAATTTAGAGTTATGAAGTAGCAATAGTTATGGTTGGGGATCTGTATTACAGGGCCATGGCATTAGGAAGGTTGAGAACCACTATTCTAGAACAATACATAATACGATTCTGTTAATGCTTAACGCAAACACCACTTGCGTGCCCAGCGGCATGCACGGACCTGGATGGAAACGTGTAGAAACTTTCTGGAGAGATTTGCGCCAAGCTGGCAGCAGAGTGATTCTAGGACAGGAAAAGGGACCTAGAGAGTCCGCGGCAAACTGGGCAGTTTTCCTGGTGACGCCATGTACTTCTTGATTGTTTAATTGCTGACAATGAGAAAGCACTCATGCCCTGCCTGTGCAGTTAAGCAAGGAGGAACAGGCATGTGACCAATTTAGTTACAGCAGTATGGTTATGGATGGCAGTTGTTCCTCTTTTAATCTCCTTTAATGTTGCTTTAATACGTCTACGCAGTGATATAGACATACAAATGAGATGATGCCAAGACATAAAAGGAGGAATGAGAATATGGTATCCTGGCTTGGAAACCTTGCCTCTCCCCACCCCAGCTTCAGTTTATAGTGAAACCCCTTTTTAAAGAGCATCATGGATTGTTGGATGGAAACCCTTGCTCTCCCAGCTCTGAGACACATGTAATTATTTCTCAGCTAAGTCGCCCCAAGGATCTTTGTGATAGATATGACTTCATTATAAGAGCATCAAGCCTCTCCCAGGAGTGACTGGGCTGGAAGAATCAAGGTGGAGGTTTTAGATGAGGGGTAGTTCTCCCCAGGGTTCCCCTGTCTCTCAAACCATGCCAAGTCAGTTATTTCTAGCTCTGGCTGATGTCTTCAAGCCAGCACATACAACCTGTTCTAATGCATCGTCTCTGCAACCTTGGGCGAGCTGTTGCTGTTCCGGGGTTTCTGAGAGAAGTCATAGGGCAGTGTGGTATATAGTCATTTCTAGTCCTGCACTTCTGATTTCAACTATGGAAAATTATGGGAAGATGTCACCATCTGTCCATACATTCATTCCTGGGCATCCGCCACAAGCTGATGAAGACGAATCCAGAACAGAAGCATGGATGTGCTCCCCCACACTCCCCTACAATCTGCCTCTGGATCTCCCCACACATTAGGTTCTTTTCTCATGGCTATGACAAAGTGTCTGGCCAAAGCTCCTTGAAGAGGAATAGATTTACGTTGGCTCAGAGTCAAGGGTACAGTCTATCATCATGGGCAAGGCATGGAGTCAGTCAGGAAGCAGACAGAAGAATGCTGGTACTCAGCTTGCTTTCTCCTTTTTATTCGGTCTTGAACCCTATGGAAGATCGCAACCCACAGTTAGGGTAGGTCTTCTCGTCCAATTTAGTCATATACAAACTCCCTTGGAGAGAAGCTCTGAAGTTTGTCTCTTACACGGTTCTAGAGGACAAATACTACTATTTGTATCACATTTGGCCTCTAGTCGTCAGTGCCTTAACTCGCAAAGGAAGCCTGGCTATGCTCATCCCCATGCCAATGGCCCCATGTCCTTACGGACTACATCACTCCTGTATTGCAAATGGCCCCACGTCCTTACGGACTACATCACTCCTGTATTGCAAATGGCCCCACGTCCTTACGGACTACATCACTCCTATATTGCAAATGGCTCCATGTCCTTACGGACTACATCACTCCTATATTGCAAAAGGGAAAAAGGAGCCTCAGGTGGGAACAGAAATGGCCTGAGGTCAGCATGAGACCTGAGAGGACCAGAGACAGGACTCTAGGTCTCCCTGGCCAGCCCACTGAGTCAGCAAACTGTCATATGCTCACCCTCTGTGCCCTTAGTGGACTGTGGGAATGCCAGTGGGAGCCAAAGACACCTCCTGTTTAACTGACAAGTGTGTAGGGGGTAGACAACTCCCCGGAGAGGGCAGTCCCCTCTGGGAGAGTCTTCAAACCTTGTACCAGAGAACTGGCCCAGCCAATCTTGATCCCAAGTAACAAAGAAGTCCAGAAACACCAGACACCAAGAAAGTCACCCTAGTCTGTGTCAGGAGACTCCACAACACTCTTGATCAAGTCAGATATGTGAGGTGTTCCAGGAATAGGGTTTTCGGGGCACTGGGCTCTCCTTTGGTGAAGAGGTTGTGCTGTGGTCTTGTGAGCTTCTCAGTAGAAAGACTAGACTCTTAGGAGACCCCAAGAGCCTGGGCATCAGTAGACCCAGCTCTGGGTCTTCTATGCCAGCCACTCTGAGAAAGTTGCCCTACGTTTCCAGGCAAAATGACCATGTGTGCATAATGTTTTTATTATAAACATAATATATGAGAGTCTGGAAAGTGGTGTAGCTGGTTGAGTTCTTGCCCAGAATTCAGGAGCCCTGGGTTAGCCACAGCATCATGTAAGCTGGTTGTGGCAGTGAACACCAGAAACCCAGCATTTAGAAGGTGAAGACGGGATCAGTAGTTCAGGGTCATCCTTGGCTTGCATAGTGAGGTTGAAACCAGCCAGGGCTGCGTGAGACCCTGTCTCAACAATTATATTATCTGAAAAAATATGATAGAAGAGCCAAAAGTCAAACTTAAAAGGTACCTCTCCCATCCTGTTACTGTTGACGGACGGACAGACAGACACGCATGCACACACGACTGTTAGACAGAAACTAGAATTGGGTGGAAATGTTTTGTGCTGGTTTGAGCTGGTTTGATCACTGCCTTGCTTCGTGCTGCTCTATGTTTTGTAGAAAGCTTCTTGCTTCCATCTTTCCAACATTTCGTTTGGAGTGATGGCCCTTGTTTTGGTTTCATTTATTGTTTTACTTTCTGTTTCTGTGACACAGGGATGAGTAAACTCTGGTCCTCTGATTTTTGATGGTCTTTTTATTCTAAAAGATTCCAAATTGCATTTTTCATTTGCTTACTGACTGACGTACTGATCAATTGATTGACTGATGCAAGAGGAATTCTGTCACTGCACCATGGGATCAAACTCAAGTGGTCAGACTAGGCGGCAAGTGCCTATGATGGGTCAAGGTCTGTCTATCTTAAGTCTCACTCTCGGTCTCTGGACTTGTTTCACCCCATAGCCTGTTCTGTACATTTTGTGTCCATAAGCGGTGTGTTCATCTTTAATGCATTTGGATTTTTTCTCTGTGAATGTGTCACAAAGCAAAAAACAAACATTCTTTCCCCTTCAAACAAGTAAATAGTTATTGCAACACCATGTTGCTACCATCTAACCTTTTTTTTATTATAAAAAAACAACCTCTACCTCATTCTGGACTCCGTATTCTATTGTTTCGACCTACTACAGGATTGTGAAGTGACAGTCATTAGTAAATAATGTTGTGGAAATAGCAGACATGTTAGCAAGCAAAATGGAACATAGAATATATTTTAAAATCAATTAAGACAGTTTCCTCTCATTTTTCATTTTAGAAAAATTGTCTATTCTCATGTATATATTCTCTGAGATAATTTTTAGAACCAGCCTTCTAGTAATTTTAATCATGAGTTGTACTAGAATTGTGTAAAATGTATGGGCTAATTTGGGAGAGAATTGTAGCCTTTTCTGTGGTCAGCCACCCCAACCAGAAACAGGTAAATCATTTAAATTTTGATACACTGTGTCTCTTCTTAAATGATTTCTTTACAAGAAGTTTCTAGAAGTAAAATTTCTAAGACCTGAGGCATCCAGCAATCCCAGTCATTTGTGACAAGTTGATAAAAAGCCTTGATAAAGATGAGAAGCCTTAACTCTCCCACCTCCACTTCTTACTATGGATATCTTTCCTTTAGACTCTGCCTTCTTCGCTACACCAAAGGTGTCTCCTGGGTTCTCAAACCGGCCGGCAACAACACTTCAACAGTAGCAGTGTGTCTGTCTGCCACCAGCTGTGTTCTGGTTGCCCACAACCTGAAATAAACTGTAGAGTCCTGGCTTCCCAAATGAAGATCTGTTTAATCAAGAGACCAATCCTCAGCTCTGGGATCTGACATCTAAGGTTGAAGCAAAATGGTTAATTCAGCCATGATCTTTGCTTGCAGCAGAGTGTCTGAGCCCTGGGGAGATGTCGATCACTCCAGGATTGCTACTTGTAAGTACCCAAGGACCCGAAGATCTGTCTGAGCTTCAAGTAAAATAAATAAATAAATAAATAAATAAATAAAACCCCTTCCTTGTCAGTTTTATCAGGGGAAAAGTGTCATGTTTCTCCTGTCAGGTGTTCTGTTGAAAAGGAGGAGTGTGCCTCGCTGGGAAGCGCTTCCAGCAAGCAAGTCACTACAAACACATCTGCATTGACAAGTTGAGACTTACATCCTTCTATGGTGCTTTTGCTCTTTTGAAAATGTTAATAAAAACTTAATGTGGAAAAAAACACAACTTTTTCCAAATATGTGTACCAATGGGCCCGAGGCAGCTCATACTTTCCTGTAAAATAAAGTAGGCCACTCACATCAATCATGTCGGCTTAGCACATTTTTTCCAAATTAGGAATTCTCCATCCATCACCCCACGGCTTGGCATCCTATTTCCAAACATTTCCTTTTAATACGCTCTTTAACATGATAAGCAAATCTAATAGAATACATTAGTGTCACTTTGCTGGTGATGGAGTGTTTCCTCCTGCTGCTGTCTTCCACGAGGAGTTTGGGGAAACGTTCTTACGAACTCTCTCTTTGACAGTCATCTGTCACTGAAAACATGACAACGGACCCAACGCTAACCAAGGCTCTATTTGAGATAGTAGTAGCCTTAGAAAGATTGTCAGCCATCTAGATGCTAGCTTACCACCTCGTGTGTCACAGATGTAGAAATTTGAAAGATATCTGTGTCTCCAAATAATGGGTCCAGATTCCGCACCCAAGAGGAGTGTTTAAATTTAGCCTGTGGCTTCAGTGATGTTGCATGCCCCAGGCTTCAGTTCCAAGCCACATCCGAGATCATGCAGAAAGAGAGGATCCTTGGCCTAGGATGTGTGTGATCCTCCAGGCCTTGTTGCCATCTTTTCCAAGTGGCTTTGGACCCTGTGTGAGCGGCATGCTCTGATTGTGATCCGCTTGAGATAAATATTAAAGCATGTTCGTGAACGTGACAACATTTACCTGACAAAAGCAAGGTATTTTTTCCACCCAGATCTCTGGTTCTCCAACTCATGTGTTCGGTGTTAGCAATTGAATTTCCAAAGGATTTTTTTTTTTTAATTTTGAGGACTGAGTTTTGGCATAAAACATTCAGGGGAGTTGGGAATGGGAGATGTGTGTGCAGAAAGCCTAGGAATAGTTGTCTTGGGCTTTTGGTCACCCAACAGGGAAATATCTGAATGAAACAGGGAAAGAGCTGTTTTCCGAGTGTTTGGAGTAGTGAGGTCCTGAAGGCACTGGCTTGGGTGCTTCATTGGTGAAGCGTTTGCCCGTTAAGTGTGAAAACCTGGGTCCATCCCCAGAACCCAAAAAAGTCAGACAAGATAGTGTACAGCTTAATTCCAGAGCTGCCAGACAGGCAGTCTGATTGATGCCTGGGATCTGTGAACCAGCCAGCCTAACCTACTTCTCAAGTTCCAAAGAGACACCATGTCTCAAATACAAGGTGGGGCCAGATAAATGGCTCAGTGGTAAGGGTGCTCACTACCAAGCACTGTGATCTGAATTCGTCCTCAGAACCTGTGTAATGGGAGAAGAGAACCTCCTCCTGCAAATTGTCCTCTGTCCTCCACATATATAGTACAGGGTGGGACTTGTTCTCTCTCTCCCTCTCTCTCCCTCTCTCTCCCTCTCTCTCCCTTTCTCCCTCCCTCCTCCTCCTCCTCCTCCTCCTCCTCCTTCTTCCTCTCTCTCTCTCTCTCTCTCTCCCTCTCTCTCCCTCTCTCTCCCTTTCTCCCTCCCTCCC